GCAAAGCTGGAGTGTACATGTACTACTCCCCATTACAGTAATTAAAATTGTTATGTCTGAACACACAGAGACCCTCGGCTCAAAACTGTCAAACATATCACCTCAAACCTCGCTTCTCTTCACCCCTCATATTGGCTGGCTCTCCTCCCTTCCCCATCTGCTCAGCCAGGGTTTATTTAGGCTACAGTTTTATCTTTATATAATATCTCAGACTAAAGTTAGGGAGACTATAATTTGTATTGTTGAATCTCTTGCAAGACAGCCAATACAGGTAATTTGAATATAAACATCATATATTTTGCTCAAGAGATAAAAATTGCTGTATATTAGTGTACAGTACTGGTTTTCAGTTAAAAAAATGTTGTATTACAAGAATATTCTTCCTAATTGACTTGAATAAATACTTGAATGGAAATGTACAATATTTTTGTTGAAACTAATCTCGCATTTCAGTGTGGTAAAGTGTCGTAATAATAAAATAAGTAAATTTGCCTTCGCACTCTGTGTTTGCAAGTACGGCGGTTTCAGTTTGTGGACGAGAGTGTTTTTACTAGTTGGTTTGTTGTTCCAATACCTCAAAATCCTAGGCCCACCTTAAACAAGGAATATTATAAATTAACGATTTTTGGTCAAAAATCAGGGTCGCCTACAGTGCTGATAAGCCAACATAAGCGTATTACAGCTAGACTGACTGAGCAGGAGCGCTGGGTGGTGGACGTGCCAAGGTGGTGTGGGGTATGGCGTGTGGGTGGCGGAAGTGTGTGTGGGTGGCGGGCGTGTGTGTGGGTGGCGTGTGTGGGTGGCGGGCGTGTGTCAGCACGCTTATTTGAATGGCACGCTGATTTGACGGCGCTGATTTGAATGTACTTCAATTATCAATGTATAGAATATTCTCCGCAGGGCAATCCGCTGCATTTGTGAGTCCGCATGCTAAACCCGCGTATGTGAAGGGCCGACTGTACAGTATTTGGAGACTGGCAGGATTACATGGAGACCACTGTATTAATGTTCTAAATATATTAGAATAAATGTTGTTGAATATAAATACAGTAATACTTTTAATTTATTATACATACCGGTATTGCTTATTAACGGTTTTTAGATATGTAAATAATTTTTGCAGCATGTTTTGATACAATTTGCTCAGGCACTTCCATACATCTAATATTCTAATTTTTCTAAAATTCATATACAGTCGACCTTCGTTAATTCAGACCCCTTTAATCCGGATTTTGGATAATTCGGACAAAATCTGCACTTTTTTTTAAGATTTGTAGGAATATTACCTTAAGCTAAAATGCTGGTCCATCCACTGCTGGGATAAAACACTAGTGTCTTTTTGGTTAAATGTAACATCTCCACCACTAGTGCAAGGGGGGTACAACTTTTAGCTTCAGACATGAAAAATATTTACCATTTACTGCCAGTAAACAATGGAAACGTAAAATATGTACCAATTAGTAATGAAAAGTTGTGCAGTTCCTTCAGTAAATGAAGCTCACCAACTTACAATAGGCTAAATTACCTTACAACGTGCTTTCAGTAGTCTATGTTGAAGTTCTTAGCACAGGCTAACTTATCATATCATATACGGTATCACAGTTCTCATTGATCTACAAAAAATACCGGTAATAAAAACCTTTTCGATATTTCACACTTAATATAATACCCGGTAATCTACTTCAACCTCCTATTGTTTACAACGACGCATGACGCACCACCAGCTGTATCACCTAGACGGTACACGTGTTTTTCGAATCATTTTCAGTTAAAAAACTGTTACATCACATGTATATTTTACCTTAACTGTGCCTGAATGAATATGTTCTCGGAAATAAATAGTAGTTTTGCTGAAACGTGATATATTTTAATGTAAAATAGGATAAAATACATGACGAAAACAAAAGATTTTACCTAACCTTCCGATGTTCAAGAGAAGTTACTCGTTTTTTTTAATAGTTTTTGGTTAAAATACTGTTATATTACAATGGTATTCTATTCATACTGTGCTTGATATAATACATTCACGGAAATGTAATATTTTTGCTGAAATGATGTACGTATTACAGTGGAAAGTGGGATAAAATCGTGACGAAAACAATGACTTTCGCTTTCTTTCGTTCAAAAGATGTTACTGTAATCGCTTTTCGATTGGTTTTCAGTTAAAAAACTGTTGTATTCTAATAATATTCTATCCTAATTGACTGAATAAATACTACAATACCATATTTCTGAATATTTTCATTAAAATCCATCCAAATCATTTTCCTTGTCATCGTCTGCAGCACCAAACAGCTTCTCCCAGTCCTCTCCTTGAACAGGGCTAGAGGCTACGTGTTTTTCGAATCATTTTCAGTTAAAAAACTGTTACATCTCACATATATTTTACCTAAACTGCGCCTGAATGAATATATTCTCGGAAATAAATAGTAGTTTTGCTGAAACGTGATGTATTTTAAGGTAAAATAGGATAAAATACATGACGAAAACAAAAGATTTTACCTAACCTTCCGATGTTCAAGAGAAGTTACTCGTTTTCTTAATAGTTTTTGGTTAAAATACTGTTATATTACAATAGTATTCTATTCATACTGTGCTTGATATAATGCATTCACGGAAATGTAATATTTTTGCTGAATTGACGTACGTATTACAGTGGAAAGTGGGATAAAATCGTGACGAAAACAATGACTTTGAAATATAATGCAATATTAACCCCTAAATTGGTTAATTCGGACAATCAGCTAAAACGAACACCCTTCCCCCCCTATTAGTCCGAATTAACGAGGGTCGACTGTACTTCTATGGCCCATGCAATTCAAATTTTCGGGGTTGCACTGTAATAGAATTAACAAAACATTAAATATAAACCAAATACAGTACTGTACTGTACTGTACAGTATACTGTATAAGAATAAATAAAAAAACTATAGAATACTGTATTTTAACTTACTTTGAGGTGTGTATGTCGTATTACCGGCAGCTTTGTTTACATATCAAACAACTGATTGTAGAGGCAGTCGATGATGACATACCATAATTTTTACAGAGTGCATTGGTTCTAATGCCTTCTTCGCGTTTCATAATAATTTCTGCACTGTATATTATCAATATGTTAATTAAATTTCAGAATGACCAATAATTCTAATGTAAAAAGTAAAAAATATTCAAGAGACCAACAAAATCGATGTTCACTCCACTGTAAATAAAGTTAAACTGAGAAGAGTTGTTGGGTGATTCAATCGGCTGATGGGCGCACAAAAACTGTTCCCTGTACTGTATATATTATCAATATGTTAACTAAATTAGAATGACCAATAATCTAAAAAAAAAAAAAATGCAAAAATATTACAGACACCAACTTTCTTGATATTTACTCCACTGGAAATGAATGTAAACATTGAACCAATTACTGAATTGGCAGACTAGCTGATCAGCTGACACACACAACAAAAAAATGTTTGTCGTTAGGATTTCGTGAATCAAAGTTTTGTTCATTAACCGAACTGAAAATCCTTATGGGAGCTAATTCGTTAACCAAAATTTCGTTAATTGAACCGTTCGTTAACCGAGGGACCATTGTAATTAAAACTTGGTTACTACAGCATACATACAGATTTGCATTTGTGGTTTGGGAATCGACATGTATCCTCTTTTACTAATTGTATTCAGTTTTAAAACTCAATCCCTGCAAATTCCAAGGGATTACTGTACTTCAATCACATTTTAGATTTTGTACACCATTTTACCAACCAAAATGTCCAGTTTTAAGTACATAAGTACTGCACAGTACTGTGTCCGAAGATTTCCATGGGCACCACATATTTCTAGCCCAGCATGGAAAGAATGTTCGCTGGATCAGGTCTACCAAGTGGTTTGTACTGTTTGCTTCTTTGTGTGTATGTTTCTCAAACGACAATTTATTATCATCTACCAAACACAAGTCCTCTTCCTTCTCTAACCTCTTAAATACTCCGTAACATGGATGGTACACATTGTATCACCTAAATTACCTTTGCTAGCATATGGAGGATGCAAACTGCATCCAAGTCTTTAACAATTACTCAAAATTCATTTTTGGGTCTGTCAGAATAAGGTTGGGTTTTAAAATGCATGACGCCTTCCAAGCACAATTAAAAACAAAAATAGGAAACCAACAGTCAATTCAGTATTAAGAAAGAGTTCAATATTTTTAGGTATTGTATTGTGCAAGCAATTGTACATGCAAATATATCATCTTCGACCAAAATTAACATAAAAATCTATAATTAATGCATACCAGAATGACAGTTGAGTCTGCCTAGTTCAACCACCCTCCCTAGTTGGTTGACAGTTAAATAAATTTTCTTATTTACATCCATGGACTGTCAAATCTAGTTATTGAAGACTTGATAATGGGAAGCCCCATTACTGGAGAATTTACTACAGTACACCTTAAACTGAGTTTGTCATATCAATGCTATCTTGTATTATTACAAATGTGTAGACTGTAGAACCTGGCCTATTGAGAGAAAGACTTTACACAGCAATAATGACACCTTGATTCAGCCAAATAATCTAGCTATTAAACCAAGATAATTTTAAAAAACAAAGAATATCTAACTCTGTAAATCTACTTACAGTACTACAGGGTATTTCACACTGAATCACAAATATTTGCAACTTATCTTCTCATTCACCAACCAAAGCAGAGTAATCTTCCAACAAAAGATGGTTCACTTCACATGCACTATAAATCCCAACCAATCAAACCTGTTCTTCACTACATTAACCATACCTTTACCTTTCTCACCATCCCATCCATGAAACTTCTGAACAACAATGGTGACATTACAAGTAACTATCAACTGAATTAAGAGATGTATGAACCCTGTGTAATGCAAGTTTGATAAAAATGACCTTTGGCATAGGTTCAGGATACTGTAGTTCACTGGGTTATTCTGGTAGTATACGCTACAATACAGTAAGGTACTCATAAATCCTTTTTTATCCTTCCTTACTTGAGTGTGATAATATGGTGTGGAGCATAGCTCTGATCCAATATAAAAGTGACTGCAGAGATAAAGGTAGAAACATCTTCACCCTCCATTGGTGCCCTCACATAGACTTGCCACTTGTATCTCAGAGCATCGCCGACATCTTCATCACCATGTGAAGTTAAGTACTGGTAAGTATTGCCCACTACCACTCTGAAAAAGAAATGAATTAAAGACATTTTGATTACTGATTTTTTTCTTCTTCTTCATTAAACTGTCTAAAAACACCTAGTCCAGGGTTAAAAGCAGGGTCAGAAACGGAAGATTGATTCTGAAATAGTTTTATCTCGTGGAATTCAATGCCAGACAGCCCTATTAATACAAAGCATCTTCTGAGTCTGCTAATTTCAGATAGGCCTATCATCATCGGCCAAGGGTTTCTTTGTTAATTACAGTACTTTTGATTTACTAATTACCCTTCTTTCTCTATCATAAAGTTCCCTTGCAAAAGATGACCTGATACAACAGTTACCTGCTACAGGTTAGGAGGTGTCTTAGGCCCAAGTCTGCCCATCAAATATTAAGGCATACTGTTTGCCAAGTTAGTTCCTTGCTGATACAGTAATCAAATAGGACAGAGGCTAAGATGGATTAATTTTTTGCTCACATTCTACAAAAGCAAAGGGTCTGAAGGATGCTAAGATAGAATTTCCTTTTGTAACAGTAGCAATGAATTACAGTGAATAAAATGTTTTCTTATGCAATGTGTTTTGTTTGTGAAGTTACAAATACAGTCGGCCCTTAACATACGCGGGGGTTAGGTAACAGAGATACCCGTGAATGTTAAGAATCAGCGCATTTTGCTGCCCTCCCCCCCCTAAGAACACCCCTTGCCCCCCATGTCCTTATTTACCGTATATACCTGTGTGTAGTTCGAGTTTTTAAGACCAAATTTTTTGGCAAAAAACTGGGGGTCGACCTCTAAACGGGTAATAGTTTCGGTAGGTTGAAAAATATTTACCAGTAACTACCAGTAAACAATGGAAACGATGCACCACCAGCTGTGAGTGTCGGTACAGTTGCCAGGGCAGATCTCTTGCGTCATCATAGCAAGCCCAAAGTAGCCAAATGCATGGTATGGTAGCACAGGACGATGTAAAACATAAAGTATTCATTTTTTAAAGTTTATTAATAGATACAGTAGTACCCCGCTTAACACAGTCAATTGAACCCACAGGGTACCGCGTTAAGTGAACAACAGAACATATGGGATTAATTCCAATAGAGACTGGCCGGACCCCCAAACTCCACTTTTTGACGACACACAACTATGTTGTAGTAAAAATATTATCTTAACTTTATGATGGTATGCACACACAATTAATAATTAAGAGAAATATCAATAATATTAGGTTTTTTAACACTTACATTAGTAGAAAAGATGGCTGGGCACACGGGGATGGGGGGTTGGTTCCGAGGCAGAGGGCAGATTATTGGCCCTCACCTGTATCACTCGTATCAATTGTATCACTATCCAACACAGAGGCTTGCAGGGCCTCTTTGTCAAACCCCTTAAAGTCCATATAAGTCCATATCCTCACTATAATTATCACTATCAGTGACTTGGGCCGGCTGTGGTGGGTGGCGGGTGAAGAACTCAGTAATGTTTTGATGACTGGGCGACCTTGTGCGCATCGTACCCGCGCCGCTTCCTGCGTATATGAGTAGATGAACCACGTTAAGTGAAAGTTCGGTTCTGGCGAGGCACCGCGTATATGAGAAATCGCGTTAAGTGAAACCGCGTTAAGCGGGGTACAACTGTACATAAATTTTTGTTCATTACATTTGAAACATCAATCTTTGTTAAATAAATTTGAAACAAAAGAAAACTACAATACCGTATTTCTAAATACCGGGTATTTTCATTAGAATATTACATCACAAGTATATTTTACCTTAACTGTGACTGAATGAACATATTCTCAGAAATAAATATGGAAATGTAATATTTTTGCTGAAATGACGTACGTATTACAGTGGAAAGTGGGATAAAATCATGACGAAAACAATGACTTTCGCTTTCTTTCGTTGTTCAAAAGATTTTAGGGTAATCGCTTTTCGAATGGTTTTCAGTTAAAAAAACTGTTGTATTACAATACAGTCGGCCCTTAACATACGCGGGGGTTACGTAACAAGAGACACCCGTGGATGTTAAAAATCCGCGTATTTTTGCTGCCCCCCCTAAAAAAAAACCCTGGCCCCCCACGTCCTTATTTACCGTATATACCTGTGTGTAGTTCGAGTTTTTAAGACCAAATTATTTGGCAAAAAATTGGGGGTCGACCTCTAAACGGGTAATAGTTTCGTTAGGTTGAAAAATATTTACCAGTAACTACCAGTAAACAATGGAAACGATGCACCAACGCACCACCAGCTGTGAGTGTCGGTACAGTTGCTAGGCCAGATCTCTTGCGTCATCATAGCAAGCCCAGAGTAGCCAAATCCATGGTATGGTAGCACAGGACGATGTAAAACATAAAGTATTCATTTATTAAAGTGTATTTATACATACTGTACATAAATTTTTGTTCATTACATTTGAAACATCAATCTTTGTTATTTAAATTTGAAACAAAAGAAAACTACGATACCGTATTTTCATTAAAATATTACATCACAAGTATGTTTTACCTTAACTGTGACTGAATGAATATATTCTCGGAAATAAATATGGAAATGTAATATTTTTGCTGGAATGGCGTACATATTACAGTGGAAAGTGGGATAAAATCATGACGAAAACAATGACTTTCGCTTTCTTTCGTTGTTCAAAAGATTTTACCGTAATCGTTTTTTGAATGGTTTTCAGTTAAAAAACTGTTGTACTCGTACTGTATTACAATAATATTCTATCCTATCCTTATAATCCCACAACTGAAAACCATTCGAAAAGCGATTACGGTAACATCTTTTGAACGAAAGAAAGAGAAAGTCATTGCTTTCGTCAAAATTTTATCCCACTTTCCAATGTAATACGTACATCATTTCAGCAAAAATATTACATTTCCATGTTCTCAGAAATAAATGGTAGTTTTGTTGAAACGTAATGTACAGTATTTAATATTAAAATGCAAAAATAGGTATAAAAACATTTAATACACCCGTAATGTACTGGCTGGCATCTCCACTCGTCCCTGCTCCCGCCAGTCACCTCCTCCCCGCTCTATCCCTCCGCCTCCTCCACATCGTCACTACTGTTGTATTACAATAATATTCTATCCTAATTCACTTGAATAAAAACTACGATACCATATTTCTGAATATTTTCATTAAAATCCATCAAAATCATTTTCCTTGTCATCGTCTTCAACACCAAACAGCTCCTCCCAGTCTTCTCCTTGAACAGGGCTAGAGGGTACGTGTTTTTCGAATCATTTTCAGTTAAAAAAATGTTACATCACATGTATATTTTACCTAAACTGCGCCCAAATGAATGTATTCTCAGAAATAAATAGTAGTTTTGCTGAAACGTGATGTATTTCAATGTAAAATAGGATAAAATACATGACGAAAACAAAAGACTTTACCAAACCTTCCAATGTTCAAGAGATGTTACTCGTTTTTATAATAGTTTTCGGTTAAAATACTGGAATATTACAATGATATTCTATTCATACTGTGCTTGATATAATGCATTCACGGAAATGTAATATTTTTGCTGAAATGACGTACGTATTCCAGTGGAAAGTGGGATAAAATCGTGACGGAAACAATGACTTGCTTTCTTTCGTTCAAAAGATGTTACCGTAATCGCTTTTCGAATGATTTTCAGTTAAAAAAACTGTTGCATCACAAGAGAATTAGGATAGAATATTATTGTAATACGAAAGTTTTTTAACTGAAAACCATTCGAAAAGTGATTACGGTAACATCTTTTGAACGAAAGAAAGCGAAAGTCATTGCTTTCGTCACTTTCCACTATAATACGTACGTCATTTCAGCAAAAATATTACATTTCCATATTCTCAGAAATAAATAGTAGTTTTGCTGAAACGTATTGTATTTCAATGTAAATTAGGATAAACTACATCAAAACAAAAGACTTTACCTAACCTTCCGATGTTCAAGATATGTTACTCGTTTTTTTAATAGTTTTCGGATAAAATACTGTTATACTTGTGATATTCTATTCATACTGTGCTTGATATAATACATTCACGGAAATGTAATATTTTTGCAACTACAATGCTGATGTCAACACAAGCGGGGTTACAGCGAGACTGACTGAGTGAGGGAGAGCTATGCGTGTGTGTGTGAGGTTGCGGGAGCGGGCGGTGTCCTGTGTTCGGTGCCGCGCGCGGGTTGAATGGTGCGCGAATTGAATGTATTTCAATTACTTCAATGTACAGAATATTCCTCCGGTGGGGCAATCCGCGTATTTGCAAATCCGTGTGTGCTAAACCCGCGTATGTTAAGGGCCGACTGTAATATTCAATCCTAATTCACTTGAATAATTACTACGATACCATATTTCTGAATATTTTCATTAAAATCCATCAGAATCATTTTCCTTGTCATCGTCTTCATCACCAAACAGCTCCTCCCAGTCTTCTCCTTGAACAGGGCTAGAGGGTACGTGTTTTTCGAATTGTTTTCAGTTAAAAAACTGTTACATCACACGTATATTTTACCTAAACTGCGCCTGAACGAATATATTCTCAGAAATAAATAGTAGTTTTGCTGAAACATGATGTATAGGTGCTCCCCGATTTACGACGGGGTTAGGGACCCAAATCCAGGTCTTAAGTCCAACATAGATAAAAATAAATAAAAATAAAAAATAAAAAAATGTATAAAAACAAAAATTCAATTTAAAAAAAAAAAATTAAAAATCTACAATGAAATACAGTACACTAAACGTAATAAAAATGAGGAATGGATACAGTACAGTAAAAGTAATAAATAATGAGGAATGGATAGTGTGTGACTGAGCACTTACCTTAAATGTAGTCAGCTAAATGCACACAGTGCCCCCATAATTTTCTATTTACAGGATACATGAAGACTATATTATTTGGAAGAAGCAGAAGAGGAGTCAGGGCTGGGTGGGCCATCAATGTCGCTTTCTTCAGACAGGTTTATGTGCTGTGGAAACTTGCTGGTTGAAGGTATTGGATCATCTTGAGGGAGTGAAGAGGCAGCACTGGTGGGGC